TCTATCTTTGGAAAACTAGCTATCCAGATTTCTGTCCATATCTATTGAACTATATCCCTTTATTAGTGCATTATCATAGTTCTTTATCTTTTGGTATCTTCCCCAAATGCAACTTTTATATTGTAAGAAATATTCTTAACATTTTTCTCATGGTAGCCAATATCTCATACTCTTTAATGAATAAGCCTCCTTTTCCCTCCTTTAACAAATATTTGAACAAATAATTTGGTATATATTCTGTGCTGAGCTCTGTGAAAACAAGAATAAAAGGATGCAGAGTGTATATCCTATTGGGGGGACAGACTTGTGAATAAAATACGATTAAATAATATTCTTCAAATGAAGATTTATGAAAATCATTTTTAGATCATTGGAAAAGAAATACCACCACCTAAGCAGAGACGGCCTGACACAGGGTCTGCAGTGATGGGCTTGGGCATAGCAGAGACTGTGAGGACGACACAGGATAGGTCCAGGTTTCACGTTACTCATGGGGTCACCATGAGTTGTATTCGACTCAATACCTAACATCAGTAAATAGAGGTCGGTAAGGAAGAGGAACAAAAGGAGAGAGAGACATTAAGACATAGAAAGTTTCAAATAGAAGAGTGAAAAAAAAAGAAGAGTGAAAAATCATTCCTTTAAATGATTCAGTCATTCAATAGGTATTTTTAAAGAATTGGCTAGGCCAGAGAATTTAAACAGTGAAATTTTACATGTAAAATATCTATTTCATTGTTTCCTCTAGTTGTATGCAATATAAATAAAACAAATAACTTCTTTTTTAGTGAAGTATGTTTGACTTTTAATCCCCTTGTATTTAATATGTTGTTGTTATGTGCACAATTAATACCTATTGTACCAGCAGTCAGGAGATCAGAAGACATATGTTTGTTGTTGTTGTTGTTGTTGTTTGCCATCTAGTTGTTTGCAACTCATAGCGACTCTGTGTACAGCAGCCCTAAACTCTGCTCTGTCCTGTGCCAGTCGCACTGTCTCCGACA